GCTAATTATTGTTTTAAGCATATCATTCCAGTTTTTTGGACTTGTGATGTAAAACCTTGGAGTTTCAGCTAAAAACCTTCAGCCCCACCCCCTTATTAAGTATGCATAAAGCATGTTTACCTGAATATCTCTGCAGTTGTTCAACCAAATTTAGCACTTTAATTTTTTATAACAAGCAATTGTGCATGTCTACCTATTGATGCCAAACAACAATCAGATTTAGACTGCTAACACACTTGAAAAAATTCTTCATTATAATTTAACTTCTGTAGTGAGCCAATGTGTAAAAATTCTCTTTTCCTGGATCAAAATGATCTTCCCTATAGACAGCTTTGACATTTCTGTTGCTGCATAGCATTGATAGATGTGTAGAATGATTTGCCATCAGTTCATATGGACTTCAATTGTGTTTGCATTATAATACGCTGCCGTATATTGCTGTTCATTCGCTGCATTTGTAAGACAATTTATGAAAATTATTTTTATTAAAAAAGAACAATGTTTGTAATGTGATCTTGATGTCTTTTCACTCAAATATGAAGAGGTAAATACGACTTGAACTTGCTTGAATCTAAGACTTATTAATGATGACATCAGTCCTAAGCTTGGCATAACAAGATATGGAGACACTAAAAAGATAGAGAAACAAAAAGGACAAAAAGAGGGAGTGAATGTAATGGTAATTCAAACTTATAACACAATTAATAATTGTCAGTACTCATCGGTAATGGGTTTGAAACATAATGATATAACTAGTCAACTGCATTCATGTATACATGTACTTGTGCTCTACTCAATCAGTGAGTCAGTGACATAGACATGTGACAATTCAGTTCCATTACAATTAAAAAGTGTTCTATTCACTCAAATACATGTACATTACATACGTGTATGTATCACATACCATTATGAATGCTTCAGCCCATCCAACAAGTACAGAAATTATATAAAATGTTCCATTGTTTGAGTTCATCTTGACACATCCTAATAAATACAAAATAGAATAATTGAATGTACGTAAAACAAGGTCTCACTGCTTCTTGATTATGAAAATAAGTGTAATTCACTGTATTAAGAGAGCGAGACAGAGATAGTAATTTAAGTATACGATGCTGATGCTATACTTACTTCTTCAAATTAGGCATTTCTTTTATCATTAATTGGTAAGTATTTGTCTTTCCATTCTCCTGTACAATAAATGACACAATAAATTACTGACCAAAAGACATATCCTACTCTCTTTACAAGTACATGTGTGTATATATATGTAATGTACTATAGTGTGCATTGTGTCTTACCACAACGTTTGTTAGCATGTGTTTCTGTTCCCTCAATATTTGCCAGATATTTCAGCAAGTGCATTTGATGGGACCTCAACAGACAATGCAGTTATGCCTATAATAATATTGTAATAAATAA